ATTGTGGACTGGTAAAAGGAGGTCATCAGTTGTTGTTCCACCCTGTTTTTATGCAAGACCCTAAGGAAATGGAGTCTCTGTTGGGCCTTTCTGACAACCTGGATCATGTGGTTTTTCCAGGTGAGATCTTCGCTGAGATGGACTTCCAGGAATTTAAGGAGGAAACTCTCTCTACACAGCCCCGTCAATGTAAAATGGGACAGGTTCCTCTCTTCCCCCGGAAGTCCAACACCATCTCCTTGGTCTTGCTGATGTTCAGGTGCAGGTTGTTTTTAAGCACCAAGTGGAAAGTGTTTGAACCTCCCCCCTGTACGCTGTTTCATCTCCACCTGTAATAAGATCTAGTATAGTGCTGTCATCTGCAAATTTAATGATCACAGTAGATGGGTCTGACAGTACACAATCATGTGTGTATAGTGAATACAGATAGGGACTGAGCACACAGTCCTGTGGGCAGCCAGTGCTAAGCTTCAGGGGGGTGGATATGACAGACCCAACCTCACTGTTTGTGGCCGGTCCCTCAGAAAGTCTTTGATCCAGTCACAGATGGAAGAGGGAAAATCCAAGTCAGTCAGCTTTTCGATAAGGATGCTTGGCAGAATGGTGTTGAAAGCCGAGCTATAGTCTATGAAAAGCATCCTGACATAGTTCCCGGGTTTCTCCAGATGGCTCACTACAGAATGTAAAGCAGTAGCTATGCGTCATCTGTCGACCTATTCCCCCTGTAGGCAAACTGATATTTGTCAAAGTCCAGTGGGAGGCATGTCCTAAGGTGTTGGAGAACCAATCTCTCAAGGCATTTCATCACTACAGATGTTAATGCGATAGGTCTGTAGTCATTTAGGCAGTTAATTGCTATTTTCTTCGGGACTGGGACAATAGTGGTTGCTTTCAAGCATGATGGAACGCAGGCCGTTTGCAGGGAGATATTAAAGATCCTTGTTAGGACCCCTGCTAATTGATCATCACAATTCTTTACCACTATCCCCAGCAGCTGGGCCTGCAGTTTTGCAAGGATTCACAGCCTTCAATACAGCTCTCACTTGGTGTTCGTAGAGAGTGAGTAGATGGGAATGCCGGCGGGCAGCAGTTATGGGATCTGGTCTTTTCACCTCATAATGGCCGAAGATGTTCAACTCATCTACCAACGAGGCATCAGCTTTGACTGTGTTCCTTGTGTTGCCCTTATAGTTAGTTAGGTGCTGCAGTCCCTGCCACATTTGCTTCAGGTTGTTGTCTGCTAGATGGTTCTCCACTTTGTGTTTGTATTGTTGTTTTTCCATCTTAATGCCTCTTCTGAGATTTGCCCTGGCCTCTCTATATCTCTCACTGTCCCCTGCCTTAAAGGCAGAATCCCAGGCTCTCACAAACATCCATACCTTGGCAGTCATCCAGGGTTTACAATTCCCATAGACTCTGATGCACCTGTCAGCTGTTACGCTGTCAGTGCACATCTCTGTTTTCTATTCCTTATTTGGTCTTTCTTGTGGGCCCATTTGGTTTCTTCAGTACTCAGTAAGCCTTCCTTAGTATACTAGTTTCAGCGTGGCAGCCAAATGGTTAAGAAGCTGGGCTTGCTGAACAGAAGGTTGGCAATTTGAGGCCTAAATACCAGTGGTGGGTTGCTACTGGTTCACCCTGGATTGGGCGAACCGGTAGTGGTGGGAGGCTCCACCCACCTACCCCTCTGCATGTGCAGAAGTGGCGCGCACGCACATGAGCACACACGCACACACAAGCGAACCAATAGCAAACTAAATTGAAACCCACTACTGCTAAATACCACATGATGGAATGAGCTTCCATTACTTGCCCCACCTCCTGCCAGCCTAGCAGTTCGAAACCAAGGAGATAAATAGGTACCACTTTGGTGGGAAGGTAACAATCTTCTGTGTACTTTCGGTGTATAGTCATGCTGGCCACATGAGCACAGAAGTGGCTGCGGACAATGCTGGCTCTTCAGCTGTGAATCTGATGAACACTGCTCCTTGAGTTGGACATGACTGGAAACTTTTATCTTTTTATCTTCGATGCATCTTCTTCATTGCTCTTCATATATTCTTCCAATGCCTTTTTTTCTTCTTCAACTATCTGGTGTACTTGCAACATTCAACACCTACTTATTTTTCTTAAGTAAGTAGAGTCTTTTAATATCAATGCATAAATGAAGGGCATGATTCATCGTCATTGTTTTTGTGATCTTCCTATCCAGGGCTTTTGGTTTTTCTTGAGTCTAGTTTGGCATAATATCCATTTTCATGCATCGTTGCTCCGACATTCTTTACTCTTGGGACATCTTCACTTCGATTGGATTTCACTGAAATCCAATCGAAGTGAAGATGTCCCAAGAGTAAAGAATGTCGTCGCAACGATCATAAAATGAACATTCAGGTGAGACAATGTTCCATTTGCAATTCTATTTCTTACCTCAGTGAATTGTACATCCCTCAAAACCACAAAATTTGTTTTATTGCTACTTAATTAAAGATGCACCATGAGTAAAGTACACAATTATTAAAATTAAAGGAGATAATATTTTAAAATTTACATTACAAAATTTTAAAACTGTTTTTCTCAAGCATCCAGCATTAGAAAGAGTGAGGCTAAACATGAAAAAAGTCCCCAAACTATACTTGGTTGCCTCAAAAGATACATGAAAAAAAATATTTATTGCACTTTTTGAAACCTGGGCATTTTGCTCAATTTTTTCACCTTTATCCACATAAAAATAACATTTTTTCAAGTAACAAGGCACAAAATCCCCTTTGGGCAGCAGTTAATAAATCAAAGGCTATTCTGTTCTGCAGGACTACCTTTGATAGGGAAGTTATTTCAACCTGCAGAGTCTCTACAGAGTCCAAGATTGTATTAAAAACAAATTTGAACTTTGCTGGTATTTCTTTTCGATTTCTGCCATAGCCAACCTGGGGTGTTAGAGTCTTAAAAATTCATGAAAACTCGATGTTCACATTTTTATAATAGAAACTCTTCCAGAAATTGTTCCCCAGGTTCTTTTGACAGAACTATCCAAATTTAATTTTTTAAATTTATCAAATTTATTTGACGTCTATTCTCATGATTCAAGGCAACTTTTTTGGGCTCTCAGCGTAATCTGAAATAAGACAGTGGGATACAATAATCTAAGTCCATGTTCTTATCTGTCCTGAAGGTAAGGTTTTGTAAGCCTAGTTTCCACAAACATAAAATAAATGGTAAATACTATTTTGATAAAATAGTATCAAAAAGTCTGTAAGCGCTTCTGCCACTGCTCTGCCAGGCTAGCAGTTTACCACCTCCTCTGCTGCTCCACTGCCAGTTCACTCACTGCTGCTATCCACTGGCCTTCTGGGCTATACTCACTCTTCACCTTTGTGCCATTTCTCTGTTGGGTTGCAAACTCATCCAGGTTTCTGGATGCACCACCGCTCAGCTTGCCACTCAGCTGCCTAGTACTCTGCTACTCTTACAGTTTGCCAGTCCTCCAGTCCAGATGCTACTGCTCACTGCTCAGCCTTTTATTTTTTTACTTCTTTCTCCTTTTTTCTTTTCATTTTTTTCTGCATCTTTTCTCTCCTCCTCTCCTCCTTCTCCCTCTTCTCCTCTTCCTCTCCTTCCCTTCTTTCTTCACTGAATAGAATAAATTTTTATCGCCACGCCACATTTCCTCCATCATTGCCACCTTCTTCAGTTTCCCTGAACTTGTCTGCTCTACTAGAATGTAATGTGTTGGAGGAAAAATCTGACTATGAAGATAGGACTCTGTATACAAATTACAGAATTAGTCCACTCCTTTGGATTTATATTATTCATTTATATTAATACTGTAATAATAACCTAATGGCTGCTTTACTTTAGGAAAAAAAAGCTTTGCTTTCTTCCTCTGCAACTTTTCCGTTCCAATTCACTATGTAAAACTACTTTTATCTTTGTATTTTTAAATATAAACTTACTATATTTTTATCCTATCCTGCTGGTGATTTTGCAACACTAAATGAAATTTATCAACAGTTAGAAACAGTACTACAGCATTATTTAAAAGATCAAAAAAATTACAAGAAGCTTATAAAGAAAAAGTAGGCAAATACAGTAGGTTATTGTCAGGCACAACCATATGTGAAGGTTCACTGATTTATTGCTAAAAGCCTATGCACAGAGATAGTCTCAACTAATGGTCAGCACTTGGCTAGTTAGATAATAATAATAATAATAATAATAATAATAATAATAATAATAATAATAATAATTTTATTTCTATACCGCCCTTCTCCCGAAGGACTCAGGGCGGTGTACAGCCTATTTAAAAACACAGAAACAAAACAACAGTTAAAATTTAAAATCATTAAATAATTAGGCTCCAATTAAAATCCCAGAAATTTAAAATACCCCAATTTAAAACGTTATGTTAATAGCCCGGCCTGGCGGAACAACAGGGTCTTCAGAGCGCAGCGAAACACCTGGAGGTCGGAGATCTTACGTATTTCCGTATTAAGCATCAATGGCAATCAAGTGGGTTGTATTCAGGGGTGAAATCCAAAATTTTTCCCTACCGATTCGGTGGGCATGGCTTGGTGGGCGTGGCAGGGGAAGGATATTGCAAAATCTCCATTCCCATCCCACTCCAGGGGAAGGATACTGCAAAATCTCCATTCCCACCCCACTCTGGGGTGAGCCAGAGGTGGTATTTGCCAGTTCTCCGAACTAGTCAAAATTTCCGCTACCAGTTCTCCAGAACCCGTTAGAACCTGCTGGATTTCACCCCTGGCTGGATTTAGTTCACTTGTGGCTACATAAGGATGCCAAACTGATAGGGTAACAGAAAATGTACTCTAGAAATAGTGTATATGAAAGTCCAATTCAACTTAAAATTTTAACTGATAATAGAGTTTTGAGTCCAGCCTTGCCTGAAATAATTCAATTTTGTCATTAAGTAAAAACTAAGAAAAAGAAAATAAACAACATGCGGACATAGAAAATATTTGCAGAACTGGAATAATATTTACCTTAATGATATAATATAGTCAGGATAATAGTTACTTTTGTACTGAAACCAAGACCTTGAGTCATCTTCTGCCACGATACTGTCTTCAGTTATTGAGAAGAGACCAAATGAAGCAAATCGTCTTACTGATATTTGCTGAAGGTTGGCATTCTCCAAGGGCTTTTGCTTCAAAACCTATAATGAAACACATCATGACTCAAACTAAGGAAGCTGCAACAAAATAACGATTGTCCAGGTTTTAATAAACATACGGTAAAAAAACATACGGTAAAAAAAAAACCCGGTTAACATTAGTTTTAAAATGTGTTGAACTATGTTTGTTAAAGAGAGAATAATTGGGTTTTCCAGAATCTGAATCATTTGCCATTTCTTTTGAAGAGCAATGTGATGCTTGCTTTGTTAGACAATGTCTTTCATGGTCTATTTGAAACATACAGTACATACTGGTAACAGAATAACAGTTAAAAGAGATCTTGGAGGTCTTCTGGTCCAACCCCCTGCTCAAACAGAAAACCCTTTACCCATGATGGCAAACCTATGGCATGCATGCCACAGGTGGTGCACAGCACCCTCTCTGTGGGCACACGAGCCATCACCCCAGTTTAGCTCCGCCGCACATGCGCGTGCACCTCCTGCCAGCTAGGTGGTCGTTGGGTCTCTGCCGCGCATGTGTGGGAGGCGGGGCACATACAGGGGCAGCATGCACAGGGGCAGGCCTGTGCGGGGATGTATGCGCATGTGTGGGGGTGGGGCGTGTGTGCATATGCGGGGGGCAGGTGCATGTGGGGCAGCGTGCGCATGTGCGGGGGGCTCGTGAGGGGGCACACACGCCTCCACAGGGGTGGGGGTGTGCGGGGAGCGTGCATGGGGGGCATGCATGCATTGCATTTTGGTGGTTCACATGCACATGTGTGCATTCGTGCATGCATGCTTTGGGCACTCGGTCCAGAAAAGGTTAGCCATCACTGCCATTTCAGAGAAACAGTTGTCCAATCTCTTCTAGAGCTATTTACAACTTATATTTCATACAACATTCTACAAGTGAGTGCTGCTCCATATATTTTGGCTTGCCTTACAACAGGGAGCAACATCTGGGAAGAAGGAAGGAAAGCACCAGTTTGGTGAATGGTTAAGGTGCTGGCCTAGAAACCAAGAAACTTAGTTTTACTTCTATCTTAGGTATGAAAGCCAGCTATGTGTGATTTTGGCTAGTCATTTTCTCTCGGTCCAACCTACCACACAGAGTTGTTGTCCAATAGATTTGCACCCTTGAGCTACTTATAAAAGGAATAAAATCAGGATGAAAAAAATTCTAAACAAATACAGGATGAGAATCAGCTATTATACTGACCAGTATTTGCTTCATGGAACAGGTACACAAACATACAAAATACCTTTCCATTCTTTGCACATAATAGCACAAAACACTATTGCACAAAACACGATTGTGTATTGCATTATAATTATATATTATTATTATGTTTGTCACACAATCAGACAAATTTTTAGACTGGATTTGGTATTTTTAATCCATTTTATCAAGTCTTCCCCTAGGAACTGAAATCAGCAGGTATTACAGGTATTGTCCTAGGATGTAAGGCTGTTCCAAGTAAAGCTGCCTTTTGCAATTGACTGATGGTGATTTTGTCAATGCCCAAGGTGTTCAAGCGGTGCTCCAGATGTTTTGGAAATGCACCCAAGGCATCTATTACTATTGCTACTACCTTTGCTTTCTTTTGCCACAGGTCATTCTATTATTGCTAGTATCATTTCAAACTGCAAAGTTAAGCCCTTTCATTCTCAAAAGCAGGTGTGATAGCATAGCAAGTTTCAGAGCAGGGAATCCCCTGACACAGAATCGCCATTCAGGCCTGAAGCAGAGCTGGTCCAATTCACCTGTCAGTCAGACCCATTTCCCTTGGGGCTTATCAAATATATTATATTTGATATATTATATATTATATATTATATATTATATATTATATATTATATATTATATAGATAGATAGGTCTGTCTGTCTGTCTGTCTGTCTGTCTGTCTGTCTGTCTGTCTGTCTATCTATCTATCTATCTATCTATCTATCTATCTATCTATCTATCTATCTATCTATCTATTTGATAAGCCCTGAGGGAAATGGGTCTGAGATATATATATCTCGTCGCTTCTGCCCATTTTGCCCTTGCGGCCAGTTTATTAGCTTTGCAAGAAAGCCGTTGGGGGCGTCATTCGAGATCAGCTTTACCGCCTCATCAGTGAAACAGAGGCAGCAAATAACTTATATTCAAAGGAAGCGAAGCGAAATCATCGCCCATCTGCAATGCTAGAGAAATGGCAGGGGATGCGATAGGGTTCCCGGGGGGCGGGGGGGGCTGGGGAGAAAGAAGCGGCCGTTGACTTTTCGTACCTGTCTGAGAAGCGTCCAGCGGGCTTTGGCGGTTGCCTGCTTGCTCCTTTTCCCGGCGTCTCCCTCTTGGTTTTCCGCCTGAGCCCTGTCAGCTGGAGCAGGAGAAGCGCTCGGGGAGGATTCTGCAGCCATGCTAATGCCAGCTCTCCCTTCTTTCTCGGCTCTAAACTCAAACTTGAACGAGCGCGCCAAAAAAATAAATAAATCGTGAAATGAACCGGGCGGGGGAGTCCAGAAAGAATAACCCTAAATTTACTCGGGGGACCGGTCGCCTCCCCAGAAAGTAGCGACCGAGGCACAAGAAACAGCCCTCAGGACTGGGAAGCTTTTGCCCGAACCTTATTCAGCAAGAGTTGCTAAAAACCTCCCATTTAGCAATTAGGAGCATGAGAAGAGGACGGAATCATCTTTGATGCGGGCAAGGAAGCGGACGTTTGACAGTAGCACGGCTACGGAGAAAGAATGCAGTTAGTGAAGGATTATTTCTTGCTAAACTCGTCTCTTTTATTGCCACGGTAGTGGAAAGCATCGCCCGGTTTTTAACATAACTTTTTTTTTAACGTTAAAAAAAAAAAAAAAGAACAACGCCATTCAGACTTCGGTCTCGAATCAGGGGCGGTGTTTCAGTGCCCCAGACCAAAATGGAGATTTCGCATTTTATTTGCGGGCACAGAAAATCGCCATGTTGATAAAGGGCAAAGCGAAGACTCCGGAAAACCGCCGCCTTCTGCCATCTTGGTTGTGGGCAAGCATTGCGGTGTACGCAGACGAAGGTTTCAGTCGCCGGTTTAACAAGTCATCGCCGTTCGCCTTTTCTGTTACTGTTTGTCTATGGTCAATAGTAAATTGGCTCTCGCGGTCCCTGAGGTTCATGTTTCATTCTGGATTGTTAAATTCCTCCTTACGGAGTGATTAAAAGGTAAAAAGGTTGCTCGTAATATTCCTGTTGATTTGATTAATATATTCCAGTGACTGGAGATAACTGCTACCCTGCTTTAAAACAGTTCGGATCGAGAAATCAAGCCAAAAGATGGCTCGGTTTCCCCCGTTATCTACGAATTAAAATGTTGTGATAAAGCACAAAATGATAACTTCAGTTGTAAAGGCAAAAAAAAGTTGAGACTAAGTATGCAATTCTAAAGTGCTGTACTGCACAATGAAGTGCTGTGTGTTAGAGTCCACTGAATTCCTCTAGGCTTAACTTTGAATAAGCATTTCAGTGCCTAGGTTATTAGCTGGGCCATTGCCTGCTATTTTATGAAATGCCTTTTTCCTTGAGGCTCTAACTAAATCCTCGATTCCAATATATTATCGATTTTATAGAATGGAAAGGCATTTATTTGAAGTTTGTTGGATCAGTACTTATTTGTACACACATGTACCAAGAGCCCCCCCCCCCCGTCACAACCAGTTTTGTGCAATGCGTGCTTGCCTAGAAAGCAGGAGATAGTGAGCTCTAGTCCTGCCTTAGGCATGAGGGCTGGCTGTGTGATTTGGGGCCAGTCATTCTCTCATAGCCTAACTGGTGCAAAACATGGTGGTGCAGCCAGTTCTTGGGGTCTCTAGGTGGCCCATGTTACACTGCTGTTTTGTTCTGCGAGCTGCACTTGCAGGTGGTTTGCTTCTGAGTACAATTCAGGATGTTGGTTATCACTTTTAAATCCCTTCACGGCATGGGCCAAGCTATCTGAGCAACCATCACACCCAATGGGATTGTCCCGCCCCCCCTCATGCCAGCAAACAGGACATGCTATGAACCCCATCAGTCAAGGAATTTCAGCTGGTGCATCCAGGAGAGGAGCCTTTTCTTCTGTGGCTCCTGCCCTGAGATCTGAATTTCCATAAAAGCCTGAAGATCTAGCTCTGCCAGTTGACATGGGACCCCAATGAGGATGCATCACGCTGGAGATGGTTGACGGATTAAGACAAGACCCCACCTCTCCCTGTTTTCACTCTTCCTCCTCATCTTTTTAATTGTAATTTATTGTTATTATTCAGAGTATTTATTGCTTCAATGTTTTGTTGGCTTTTAATAAGCCACCCAGAATTACTTCTAGATGAGATGGGTGGCAAACAAGTCAAATAAATTAAAAAATAAAATAATACATACATACATACATATCTGTGTATGTATGTATAATGTATATGTTTATGCACATGAACCTTTACATTGATTATTATCCCTCTGATTGACTCTGTATTTATCTACACATTTTGTCACAGCTGAAGATGTTCCAGTAATAGTGGTCGGGAACATTAATGCATAACATTGCATTAAAGTATGACATCCTCAGCCCATCTCCAACCCAATGCAGAAACAGATCCTACTCAATTTTGCATGCTGTATTTCAGAAGTGAATTGTTGCAACAATTGTGTCGAGTGGTCCATGTGGCACAAATCAAGGTAAGACTTGAAGTGAGGTCTTACACTGCTACTATTGGCCACCTGGTGGCTATTGCAAACATAAACCTATGTGGTCAATGCTTGTTAAATTTCAGGGCCATTCACATTTTGGCAATTCGAGAATCATAGAGAAAGTGGATGTCTTAGACCTCTTCTCACACCCTCACACTTGGCTCACCTGTTGATTTGGGATGATGGCAGGTATTTCCTATCGTTATTATATACTTTCCTATCAGCCTTGAAAGTTAATCCCAGTAAGAAGCAAATCTAGAAGGTACTACCTCTATCTTTATCATAAGAGTAAATTAACAGAATCTTTCAAGTCTGAAATGCAGACCTCCTGTCCCTCATTTTTACTCTCCTGAAAAACAGTGTTGCTTCTAAGATGCTTTCACCACCCTCTTTTGTATTCAAATCACATTAGATTGTTGTCATGGCTGTAGCTGTTCCTCCTGTCTTCCAAGGTCATTCCCACATACCATTATACTTCTATGAGGGAGTGCCTCACTTGGTGTCCTCCTCTTAATCCTGGTGTGTGTGAGAGATAGGGATTCAACACTCCATGCTATATTTCTGGTAATCAATTTTTTTAAATAAACTATTTAACTATTTTTTAAAGAAACTATTTTTTAAATACATAGTTTCTATAATATAATCCCATGGATAGGTAGTATAGCCTTTCCTCAAGAGACAGACTAATATCACAAATGTTAAACAAAAAGAGAGCAGCCAGAAACAGCAGAAGATGACAAGTCTGATCTAAGACCTCCTCCCTGTACTAAGATATGTAGGGTTGAATGAAGAGAAAAACAGAAAATCTGCACTGCTCCTTCCAAGATGAGCGTTCTCACCGGTGACTGCTTTCATCTGCTGGGGCTCTATTTTAGAGCCATCACTAGAAAGCAATCCTTCATTGAGAACAACCACTCCATTTACCAGACCTGTGTCTACTGTGCCCTGAACTATTATCTGAAAAAATTCTGTGCTTTTGGACCCAGACCAGCTGATAACTTACAATGATTCTATTTCTGTACTGTGTCCTGACAGTGCTTCTGCTTGCTGCTCTGCACTTTGCTTACTGGGATCTTGTCTGTAACTTTTTAAGGGATTTAGTGCTACTGAAGACTGTGGGGGTATATTTCTTAAAATATAACCATCCAGCCACTGCTATAATTGGTCAACCAAAGTAAAGCCTTGTGTTGTATTCCTTAGTGTGTGTGTGTGTATGTCAGGCGTGGAACAGGACAGCAAAATTTTTCACAAACATTTAAAAAGGTGTGGGTCTTCAAAAACATGTTGATTTTTTTTATACCCCTACCCCCAGGTGAATGCCTCTTACCTTAGGGATTCCATGATTGCCATTTAATGTTAACCATATCTGAGCCAAAAGTGGATCCTGTTCTAGTACAAGAAAGATCTAACAAAAGTATGTAAATACTTTTTTACATACAAAGATAGATAGTAAAGGTATGTAAAACTGAACTGCAGATCTCAATTGGAAAAACAAGAAACAAGAATCAAAAGCTGGAAATATGGTTGTGGACATTTTAATAATCAGATTAAAGATAGAGGAATGAGTATATGTGTTGTGAATATTATAAAACGGATATTATTGTAACAATTATATAAAGTTAAATAATTGATATAAAGAATCAGTCTAGCCATTGATGACCTGCAGCATTTTTTCTCAGTGGTACAACTGTTAGATTACACTATTGGAAGTATTGGACCAGTTAATTCCTTGAACCTATTAGGTTCCTGTAACAAATAAAGCACTTGGCATTTACTCCTTAAATTCTTGGTATAAGTCTTCTGCCACCCTTAAGGAGATTCAATAAAATTATATTGGGTTCTTTTGTTGTGAAATAGTGACCTATCTTTTAACAAATGGAATGAAGAGCCAACTTGATGCAGTGGTTAAAGGCTAGAAACCAGGAATCTGAGTTCTAGTCCTGCCTTAAGCTCAAAACTAGCTGTGTGTCCTTGAGCCAGTCATTTTCTCAGCCCTAGAAAAGACGTAATGGCTATTTTGCCAAGAAAACTGCAGGGATTTCTCTAGGTAATCACTAAGAATAAGCACTGACTTGGACCTAACAACATCTTTTGAAAATATTAAGTATTCTTTTAGTGTTTTTTTTTCTGCGAGTATTGTTTTTAGAAACTAGTAAGGTTAAAAAGTCTCAGCTTTGTTTATAATTTCTCTTCCAAAAAGAAATTATAATTTCTTTTTTCTCCTCCAGGTCTGAACCAGTAGAATTGAAGACTGTATTCATTTGAAAGTGAAACATCTATTGGCTGCAACTAGTTTACTTGGATTTGCTATTACTTTGGATTCTAACAGTTCTCAAAATAAGAATGAAGAATCAAGCAAGATGAATATTTTGTCATCATGTATTCAGGCATTAAATATTTTCCTTCTTTTTTGAAAGGCAGTATTGGTCACCTCATGAACTGCTTTAAATGTTCATCCACTTCATCTGTAAGATTTTGTAGTCAAACAAAGCAACAAGTATTTTTCTTTACAACATGTTTTAGAAATGTATGCATTGTTCCTTATTCCCAGGGAAGCATTCAGTCATGGAGGTTTTTTGCCAGCAAGGTAAGCTATTTGAATAAATCATTCAGGCCAATAAATCTTGGCCCTTACACAATAAAAACTGCCTTTTTTCTTGTGTCAGTGACTCACTAAAATTGTTAAGGCAGAAAATACATTTTCAAAGATCATGATACTTACTTTTTGGGCTTCTGTTCTGGATTCACGGTGGCACAGTGATTAGACTGTCGTTAGACTTTTACTGTGGTTAGATTTCTACTGACTGCTGGCTGTCTGCAGTTTGGCAGTTCAAATCTCACCTGGCTCAATTAAGTTTGACTCAGCCTTCCATCTTTCTGAAGTTGGGGGCAATATGCTGACTCTGTAAACCACTTAGAGAAGGCTGTAAAGCACTGTAAAGTGGTATATAAGTTCTAAGTGCTATTGCTGTTGCTGTTCAATTGTAATTGGACAGTGAGATGGACAACATAGAAATTTAAAAAATAAATTATAATTGGGTTCTGCTATTTTTTTAAAAAAATGTTTATTCACTGGAAATCCAGTGACAGACTACAGTCCAATAAAATAAAGATATTCTTCATTTCTGCCAAAGACAATTTCTAAATCCTGTAATCAGACATTTAATTCAATTTTGT